GGGGGGGACAGGAGAGGATGGAGGGGGATTGGTAATCTTTTACCTAATGGTATACAGCACACCCTCTGTATAATATAAAGGTACACAGCCCACCCCCTCGGTGAAGGGCTCAACTACAACTTGGACCTTGCCTGATAAATGCAAACAATGTAAGCTAATCATTTGTACCCTCATATTAATCTGAAATTAGGGGGAAAAAAAGGCTTTAACTGGCTACTGTAAGGTTGAGGACGACCCTAGAGCCGAGTTGTTATATCCCTTAAAGGCTGACTTTATGCCTTGAGTAATAATGGATTTACTTTTTCCTTGCTTTGAATCTATAGCAAATAAAATTAAATTTCTAGAAGAGAAGCTTGGTTTTTGTTCTTTAACAGTGATACTCACTTTCCACCAATCCCTTGTCTCGCTTTGGAGAGATCTTCTTATCAGCTAGTCCTTTGGCAAAAGTAACTGCAACTTCTTCTAGGTATTCGATTGTTCGTTCCTCTGGAGGTTTTAATCCTGGTCCTGTAAAAATGAACACAACAGACTGAAATGCAAATCAGGCTTAGACCAGTCCCATGTAGTCAAAAACCTATGCCTGCTAATGCCAAAGGCTCTAGCACAGCTTTCCATTTCAGACTCAAGACTAGTAGGTGGCAAAATCATGAACTCAAAGAAGAGAAACACACTGAACAGAGGCACAACAACATGCTCTAGGTAGAAAACAAGGCAACTGTCTCTGTCTGACCTCCACTTCTGAGTATGTCGAATGTGGTCTGCATTCTTACTGCAAAACTGGGGAGAAATGAATACATCTTCAAATTATGTGTAAGACACTGGAGAGCTATGGAAATAATAAAGACTTTATGAACTAAAATTCTATAGGGAAAAGCAATTACGTTTCCCCTCAAGGCGTCTGCCAGATTTTGAACCTGCTTGAGATAGGAGATTAAAGAGCTAGGCTAAAAAACCCAAACAGAATTTATAGGGCTATGAAAGCAGACACCTATCGGGCTCTCAATCAATAGTCTATAAGAGCCACACTGGAGGAAGGAGATGGGGTCAAAAAGGCAGTCTAGTGTAGTATGGTGTATTCAGGATACAAAATCCCAACAGCAACCAATCTCTCCCTTAAGACCCCTGCCCTTTTTTGAATTTGTGTGGGAAGGAGGAAAAAGAACTATGCTCATGTACTAAGTAACTAAAAAAGCTGCTAATCTGAGAAGGGCCCAGAGCAAGAGATGCTGTTCTGCCATTTGGGCCATGATTCAAACCTGATGCTACTTGAAGCGTCAGAAGCAGAGAGAGATGCTGCTTGGAATCTTTAGCTGGCCCTTATAAGTCGGTCACAGTGCAGACCCTTAGGACTGTGGAAAAAGCTCTACCATCCTCTGTGAATAACTACTTTCCTTTTGGGAAACATCATTTGGCTCATTAGTGGGCCTGAGTAGAGATTCAAAGCTTAACCATGGACCATCCAGTTTACTGCGTGACCTGAGCTGCCTATCATGAAATGCATGTTATCCAACACACTGAGCCATGTGCACGACAGCACCCATTATGAGATGGAAGTGGCATACAAGGCCGGGCTTGAGCAGAGTCTAAAGGCACAAGCTGCGTGAGGAAGTAGCCAAAATACCCACAGCCCTTATTTCTTTTTTTCTTTTCCTGCCTAAAAACTCCCCTATGGCCTCATGGAGAGTTCCCCATGACTAGTTAACTAGGAAAAGGAAAATGTGGCCCTGGGTTAGAGAAAGCTCTGTGTGAGATGCAGGGAACACTTGGAAGTGAACAGTCTTTTTCTGTGACACCCCTGAAGGACAGACTTGAAGGAATACCTTCCCGGGGTTATAGTGCATCTGGGTGCTCATTTTGCCTGGAAGGAAAAGTGGCCAGAGCTAAGGTCTATACAGATTCGCAGGCTGTGGCCAGTGGTTGGCTAGGTGGTCAGGTGGTACGGTGTTATGGGCTGAACTGTATCCCCTAAATATATGTACGTTGCAGCCCTAACCCCCAGTATCTCAGAACATGACTGACTGTATTTGGAGATAGGGCCTTTAGAGAGGCGACTAAGTTAAAATGAGGCCATTAGAGTGGGCCCTACTCAGTCTCACTGGTGCCTTTACCAAAGAGGAAACATGGACTCACAAGAGACGCCAGGGATGTGACTCATGAAAGAAAGACCATGCAAGACACAGTGAGAAAGGAGCCATCTGCAAGCCAAAGAAAGGCCTCAGAACAACCCAAACCTGCAAACACCAGGTCGTAGCTTCCAGAACTGCGAGAACTTATGAAGCTTCTGTTGTTTAAACTACTTGGTCTGGGGCATTTTTTTTTTGAGACAGAGCCTCAAACTGTCCCCCTAGGTAGAATGCTGTGGCTATCAGCTCACAGCAACCTCCAACTCCTGGGCTGAAGCAAGTCTTCTGCCTCTGCCTCCTAAGTAGCTGGGACCACAAGTGCCCGCCACAATGCCCAGCTATTTTTTGGTTGCAGCCATCATTGTTGCCTGGTGGGTCTGGACTGGATTTGAACCTGCCAGCTCAGGTGTATGTGGCTGGCACCTTAGCCACTTGAGCCACAGGCCCCAAGTCATGTTTGTGGCATTTTGTTATAGCAAACTAGTCCACAAGGACCCTTGGGGAATAGGTATCCCATTCAGAGAGGTCTCTGAATTAGGCAAATAATGTGAAAATATTTGTATCCCATGTGAGTGCTCAGCAAAGGGCAACCTGAGCAGATGATTTCGATGATTGAGTAGATTAGATGACCCATTCTGTGGATACCAAACTCTCTCCTATCCTCATGCCATAAACAAAGCAGCCCTAATGGTAGGTATGGAGGTTATGCATGGGCTTAACCACACAGACTTCCACTTGGCAAGGCTGGCCTGCCTAAAGCCAGTGTTGAGCACTCCATCAGCCACCAGCAGAGACCAACCCTGAATCCCCCATATGGAGATTCCCCAGGGTGCTCAGGCAGGTACCTGGGGGCAGGCTGATTACTCTGACACTGCTTTGGTTCTTACTGGTACAGACATGTAGTGTGGATATGAATTTGCCTTCCTGGTATGCAATGTTTCTGCTAAAACTACCTTTGTGGACTCACAGAATGCCTTATGTACCACCATGGTATTCCAGACAGCATTGCTTCTGCCCCAGGAACTCAATTCACAGTACATGAAGTGCAACACTGGGCCATGCTCAGGAAGCCCAGTGACCATGCTGCCCATCACCCTCAAGCAGCTGGCTTGATAAAAAGCTGGAATGGACTGTTGGGGATCCAGTTACCATGTTAGCTGATGACACTCTCCAGGGCTGAGTTAATGTTCCCTGGGATACTGTATATGTTGTAAGTTAGCCTCCAACACAGGCTACTTCTCCTACAGCCAGGATTCATGGACCCAGGAATCAAGGAGAGCAAATAGACATGGCTCTACTCACAATCACCCCTAGTGATCTACTCTACCAGCAAAATTTTTGCTTCTTGTCTCTGTGACTTTAGGTTCTGCTTGTCTAGAGGATTTAGTTCCAAAGCGGGGAATGCTTCCATCAGGACACACAACAATGATTCTATTCAACTGGAAGTTAAAACTGCCATCTGGCCACTTTGAGCTCCTCATATCTCTGAATCGACAGGCAGAGAAGGGGGTTACTGTACTGGCTGGGGGATTAATCTTGATTACCAAGAGGAAACTGGTTTGCTACAACACAAGAGAGATAAGGAGGAGCATGTCTCACACACGAGAAAACTCTTAGGATGTCTCTTAGTACTACCATGACCTATAATTAATGGAAAACTACACTTAATTCACACAAGACTGCTAGTGGCCTTGACCTGTCATCCCACCAGGCAAAGAACCATGACTAACTAAAGTCCTTCCTGAGGCCAAAGGGAAGATGGAATGGGTAGTGAAAATACTGCCCTCCCCATACCAGACTTGGTGCATTGCCAGTGCACTGCAGTCTCTAAGTGAGCTGCAGTCAAGGACTCAGATGGCCTGGGCTGGCTATGCTCTTACACATTGGCATTCCTGGCCCAAATGCCTTCTTTCCTAGGTCTCTTTATATGGGGCCTTTGGCCAAGGTCGTCTTCAGGTGCCTCTAGTGAGACTCCTTTATTGAGGGAGGAAGGGAAAATCATTTTTTTTTTTTTGTAGTTTTTGTCCAGGCTGGGTTTGAACCTGCCACCTCCGGCATATGGGGCCAACGCCCTACTCCTTTGAGCCACAGGCACCACCCAATGTTTTTTTTTTTTTTTACAAGTGACCAATAAGGAGACAGGAAGGAGAAAACTGAAAGACACCTTTCCCTCACTCCCAGTCCATCCTCTCCCTCCACTCAGGGTCCATAAAGCTGCCAGGAGCCTTTTGTTCAGGGCTTCCTCAACAGTGAGATGACCCACACTCTGTGCCATTCCCCTTGACCCTCAACCAGCACATCATTCCACAGGGAAAATGGTGTTTTCTACATTTCAGCCTTTTGTGTAAACGATCATAGTGACAGATTAAAGATTTCACTGTTACTTTCATTTTGGGTTGCTTTACTAGGCTACTGTGACATTGGACAACTCAGCTGTCTTTTCAGATCAGCTGGCTTCTTGATAGAAATGAATACTCGTTCTGAGTATTAGAGTAGGAAAGGAAAAAAACATAAAATTATCTCAGAAGATGCAGAAAAGTATTTGATAAAATTCAACACTTATTCTCAGTACACTATGAATAAAAGGGAACTTCATTCCTGATAAAGGGCATACATGAAAAACCTACAATTAACATCATATTTGACAGCGAATACTTTTCCCTGGAGGTTTGGAACAAGTTAACAATATCTGCTTTTACCGCTTCTATCCAATATTATACAAAGCTTAGCCATTGCAGTAAGTCAAGAAAAAGGAAAACATGGCATACAAATTGGAAAAGAAAAGGCTAAACTGGCTTGGTGCCTGTGGCTCAAGCGGCTAAGGCGCCAGCCACATACACCTAAGGTGGCAGGTTCGAATCCCCAGCCCGGGCCCGCCAAACAACAATGATGGCTGCAACCAAAAAATGGCCAGGCGTTGTGGCGGGCGCCTGTAGTCCCAGCTACTTGGGAGGCTGAGACAGGAGACTCGCTTGAGCCCAGGAGTTGGAGGTTGCTGTGAGGGTGATGCCATGGCACTCTACCCAGGGGGATAGCTTGAGGCTGCGTCTCAAAAAAAAGAAAAGGCTAAACTATTGTTGAAAATCCTTAGGAGGGTGGCACCTGTGGCTCAAAGGGGAAGGGCACTGGCCGCATATGCCGGAGGTGGCAGGTTCAAACCCAGCCCTGGCCAAAAACTGCAAAAAAAAAAAAGAAATTCCTTAGGAATCTACAAAAAGGCTACTGGAACTAGTAAATGAGTTTAGCAAAACCACAGGATGTAAGGTTCACATCTAAAAAGCAATTGTATTTCTATATCCTAGTAATTAACAACAAGAAAGTAAAGTCAAAACAGATAGTAGCCTAAGAGTATGAAATACCTAGGTATAAATTTAACAAAATATGTGCAAGGTATGTTCACTAAAATTATAAAACACTGCTGAGAGAAATTAAAGACGACCTGAATAAACAGAGAAATAAATCAGTATTTTAAGGATGTCAATGCTCTACAAATTGACGTATCAATTCAGTACAATTCCAGTCAAAATCCTAGCAGGTATTTTTATAGACAGGGACAAGATGATTATAAAAAATAAATTTTTTTGGAGACATGGTTTCACTCAGTTTCCCTGGCTAAAGTGCAGTGGGCTCATCCTAGCTAACTGCAACCTTAAACTCCTGGGCTCAAGCAGTTCTCTAGCCTCACCCTCCCAAGTAGCTAGAACTACAGGCCATGTGCTACTATGCCCAGCTAATTTTTCTAGTTTTAATAGAGATGGGGTCTATATTGCCCAGGCTGGTCTTTTTTTTTTTTTGCAGTTTTTGGCCAGGGCTGGGTTTGAACCCGCCACCTCCGGCATATGGGGCCAGTGCCCTACTCCTTTGAGCCATAGTGCTGCCCAGCCTGGGCTGGTCTTAACTCCTGATCTCAAGTGATCTTCCTGCCTCCGCCTCCCAAAATACTAGGGTTATAGCCACTGCCGTTGGCCTTAAGATTTCAAGATTTACTATAAAAATGGCTCAGTGCCCTTAGCACAGTGGTTACCATGCCAGCCATGTGCACTGAGGCTGGCAAGTTTGAGCCCAGCCCAGGCCAGCTAACCAACAATGACAAGTGCAACAAAAAAATAGCCGGGCATTGTGGTGGGTGCCTGTAGTCCCAGCTACTTGGGTGGCTGAGGCAAGAGACTCGCTTGAGCCCAAGAGTTTGAGGTTGCTGTGATGCCAACAGCACTCTACTGAGGGTGACATAGTGAGATTGTCTCAAAAAAAAAAAAGATTTACTATAAAAATACAATAATCAAGACAGCGCCATATTGGCTTAATAAAATATAGATTATTTCTTAGGTATAGGAAATCCAAACTATTGACAGATAAGGTCAAATGATTTTCAACCAAAGGGTCAATTGGAGAAAGAAGAGTTTTCTCAACAAATGGTTCTAGGACATTTGGATATTCATATGCAAAAAAAAAAAAAAAAAAAGAGAGACCCTCAATCCTTACTTTACAACATATATAAAAGTTAACTTGAAGTGGGTCACAGACCAATATGTAATGCCTAAAATAAGAAAACTTCTGGAAGAAAGCATATGAAAAAAACCTTTGTGATCTTGAGTTAGGAACAGCATGATCCATAAAAGAGAAACTTGATAAACTGAATTTCATTAAAATTAAGAATTTTTGCTCTTATATAGTGAAAAGATAACCCACAGACTGGAAGGAGACTTTTTTAATAGGTCTTACTCTGTCACTGGGGCTGGAGTGCAGTGATGCAATCACAGCTGCAATTTACACCTCCTGCCTCAGCCTCCTAAGTAGCTAGGCTTATAGGCATGGGCCATCACACCTGGATAATTTTCTTTCTTTTCTTTTTTTTATAGAGATGGGGTCTCACTATATTGCCCAGACAGGCCTCAAACTTCTAGGCTTAAGTGATATGCCAGCCTTAGCCTCCTAAATAGCTGAGATTATAGGCATTAGCCACCATATGCACCCCAGGAGGAAATACTTGCAAATCACATAGAACCTCTGTAAGTTGACCACTCAAGGTACGATAGCAAACTGGTCAACATATGGAGGTAGTCATCATAAAGAACTAGGCCTATTGTACTGGTATATACATGTGGTGCATGTCCAGTCTATGAAAGTCAACCTACGGAGGTGGTCAACTCTGGAGGGTCTACTGTCCTCAGTCCACATACCAAGGGTGGAGGGTTCGAACCCAGCCCCTGCCAAACTGCAACAAAAAATAGCTGGGCGTTGTGGTGGGTGCCTGTAGTCCCAGCTACTCGGGAGGCTGAGGCAAGAAAATCGCCTAAGTCCATAAGTTGGAGGTTGCTGTGAGCTGTGATGCCACAGCACTCTACCAAGGGCTTAAAGAAAAAAAAAAAGAACTTACTATGTATCTATTATATGGACCACCCACTTCTGTTCTTCAGTATTTACCCAATAGAAATGAAATATATGTCCACATAAAGACTGGTTGACTAACAATTGTAACATCTTTATTCAGAATAAGATGTTATAAAGTCCCCCAAAATGGAAACAATTCCAATGTTCGTAAGTTGGTGAATGGATAAACAAACTGTGTAATATGTATACAGTGGAATAACACTCAGCAGTAAGAAGAAACCAACTGCTGATATATGCAATAAAAGAATGTATCTCAAAAGTATTAGGCTAAATGAAAGACATAACTGATAAAATGCCTGTAGCCCCAGCTGCTTGGGAGGTTGAGGCAAGAGAATCACCTAAGCCCAGGAGTTGGAGGTTGCTGTGAGCTGTGTGACGCCATAGCACTCTACTGAGGGTGATAAAGTGAGACTCTGTCTCTAAAAAAAAAAAAACTGATAAATTTATTATGTCAATAATGCTGATCTTTAATACAAAAGAATCATGAGCACACATTTCAGAATAGTAGTGTCTTAGGATAAAAGGATGCAAAGAAATTGTATGGGGGGGAGTAGTATATCAGTAGATGTCAATTATTGTTAATATTCTCAGGTTGGATGTTTCATGTTTATTATATTATTGAAATAGGCACAAAAAACTGAAGGAGGGTTATGCATGGATAATGATATAACTAATTTAAAACCCAAAATAATGACTTGGTTGAATTCTGCCCTCCTTATGTTCCAATTATAAATAAAATAGAAATCAAGGTGATGTTGAAAATAATTTTCAGTATTAGCTATTTTCAAAAATTTTACTCCTCAGGCCAGGCCTGGTGGCTCACAAGTATAATCCCAGCACTCTGGGAGGCCGAAGTGGGTGGGCAAGAAAGAGACCTCCATTTCTAAAAAAAAAAAAAAAAAAGCCATGGCTCAGTGCCCATAGCACAGTGCTTATGGCACCGGCCACATGCACAGAAGGTGGCTGGTTTGAACCCAGCCAGGCCAGCTAAACAACAATGACAACTGCAACAAAGAAATAGCCGGGTGTTGGGCGGTGCCTGTAGCTCAAGAAGTAGGGCGCTGACCCATATACTGGAGGTGGCAGGTTCAAACACGGCACCTGCCAAAAAAAAGAAATAGCTGGGTGTTGTGGTGGGTGCCTGTAGCCTGCTGGGAGCCTGAGGCAAGAGAATTGCTTACGCCCAACAGTTTGAGGTTGCTTTGAGCTGTGATAGCATAGTACTCTACTGAGGGCGACAAACTGAGACTCTGTTTAAAAAAAAACAACAAAAATTTTACTCCTCAGAACATTTCTTTAGAGTCTGAGTTTCATTCTAACTGATTTGATATTCAAGAGGTTAACTCTTTTTTTTTTTTTTTTTTTGAGACGGAGCCTCAAGCTATCCCCCTGGGTAGAGTGCCATGGCATCACGCTCACAGCAACCTCCAACTCTTGGGCTCAAGCGAGTCTCCTGCCTCAGCCTCCCAAGTAGCTGGGACCACAGGTGCCCGCCACAACGCCTGGCCATTTTTTGGTTGCAGCCATCATTGTTGTTTGGCGGGCCTGGGCTGGGGATTCGAACCCGCCACCTTAGGTGTGTGTGGCTGGCGCCTTAGCCGCTTGAGCCACAGGCGCCAAGCCAAGAGATTAACTCTTTAAGAACATAAATAACTTTACAAGGCCCGAATCTGAGACATGGCAACACTTACCAAGGGGTTCCACCAACTGGTCAACCAGTCCCATTTTCTTTGCTCTGTCTGCACGAATGTTTCTACCAGTCAGCATAATGTCAAAAGCAGCAGGCACACCCACCTAACATGCAAACAAGGATCAGAGTACAGGGGAGAAAATTAAGGGTGACAACAATGCAAATGTCAAATGAGCAAACATTAAATGAAAAAAGTCAAATGAGATTTTTATGCTTTGTATCCGTTAGTTAAATTTTACAAACTAATACACATCTAGGTAACTTTGGGAATGAGATACCTCCAAATGATGTTATTTCTTTTAATTCAATATGTAGGATTTCTGTGTTATGGAATTGATAAGCTAAAGAATTTCATGTTTCTGGCCAGGTGTGGTAGCTCATGCCTGTAATCCTAGCACTCTGGGAAGCTGAGGTACATGGATTTCTAGAGCTTAGGAGTTCAAGACCAGCCTGAGCAAGAGTGAGACTCTGTCTACTAAAAATAGTCAGGCGTTGTGGAGGGTGCCTGTACCACCTACTCAGGAGGCTGAGGCAGGAGGATCACTTGAGCCCAAGAATTTGAGGTTGCTGTGAGCTATGATGCCAGCACTTTACCCAGGGCAACACAGAGAGACTTTGCCTCAGGAAAAAAAATTTATGTTTTCTAAAATTGTACATGTATGTCATTCTGAGTTTCTTTTCTATGACTTATGTAATACTTAGAATTCCTATGGTGAAACTAGTAGAGACTCTGAGAAACCTGATGTTTTCTGACATCTTTAGAAAGAATTTTAGGTTTAGCAAAAAAGAACTCAGCTAGGACTTCTTATGTGTTATATTAGAAAAATGGCTTCTAGGGCAGCACCTGTGGCTCATGAGTGGGGCGCCAGCCCTATATACCGAGGGTGGTGGGTTCAAGCCTGGCCCTGGCCAAACTGCAACAAAAAAAATGGGTAGGTATTGTGCGGGCGCCTGTGGTCCCAGCTGCTTGGGAGGCTGAGGCAGGAGAATTACCTGAGCCCAGCAGCTGGAGTTTGATGTGAGCTGTGATGCCACAGCACTCTACCAAGGGCAAGAAAGTGAGACTCTATCTCTAAAAAAAAAAAAAAA